ATATAATTATATTAAAATTTTTAAAAAATACAAATTATGCATAATTAGTACTTTCATTTTAATACATAAACAACATGAATCTATTCATATATAAACATAAATTAGATAGATAACTTTTTTTAAAAAATGACTATATCTAAATAAAGGGTGAATGAATGGATTTAGATATAAATATAGACATCTCATAATCTAAAGCACTGTCAACAATGGTATAGTCTATAGGTAGAGTATTGAGGTCTTTATTTTGGAGGTTATGGTTCAATCCTTAACAATCTTAAATAAATAAATAAAAAAAAATTTGTAACTTACTAAAGTTTTGTTTGGTTATTTTCGTTTTATTTTTTTACTATTTTATTCATGTTTTGCAAAATACAAAGAACAAAAATATCAATTAAACGTAACTTAACTATATTACATAATTATATACACCAAACAATCTCCATTTCTGTATTGACTGGACCCATCCAGAAACCTATACTAAAGCCTTTAATGGAAAAGATTAGTAGGTGATCATAAGGGAAATAATTAAGTAAATGTAAATGATTACCTCAAGATGATTATTAGTTTTTATAAGTTACGAAAAGAAAGGTTATAAATAATATATCCAACTTTTAACAAATAGGAACGTCATGACATAGTACTTTTTATTTGACACAATAACAATGGAAAAAAAAATTTTTGGTACTATATATGCATATGTCTTAAAGACATCTGAAATTGTTATATGATTTCTATTTTTGTAGCTATCTTCATTTATAATATTTTGTTGTCCAAAGTTTCCAATGGAGGAAATAATTCTTTATATGCTAGCTATAGGTTTGATTTGCAGTTCATGAATTATATAGTCAACTTACAAGATTAAATTTAGTAATTTGTATATTCGTATTATATTTATTTCATCTTAAATATATGTAAAATATTAAAATTATTGTATTATAATTTGTGTCTATATATATATTTTTTATTTTTATCAAACTCATATAAGATTTTTATTAAAATTTCAAATCGTTTTTTTATATATTTTTTATATTATATTATATCATATTACTGTATTATATTTAAAATTATCAAATCAGACTAAAAATTATCTTTTGTGAGGTAACATTTTTAATAGTATATATTTTCTTGGGCAAAAGAATTCTTTTTTTAGAATCATGAATGAATTGTTTATAATGTCTTTATTGAATACATAAATTTGGTGTTTGCTTAGATAAAGTTGATGTAACTGATCCGGGGCTCCCTGCCCTGGAAAATAGATGGAAAACTCAAATATTCTTGATTACAAACGTAGGACAGGGCCTCAGAATGGTTCAACCATACCTGTTTTCATGTCCTAATTCCATAAAAATTGGACCCATTCTCTTTCAAAACAAGCAAAAAATTCATTTATCTAAGCTCAAGTGATAAATCTCTTGTTTGGTAATAATTTTTATCGAAAGTTTTGATGAAATTTAATCTTAAAAATCGGTTTCATAAAAATACTAACAATTAAATGATTGAAACGTGACATTTGGTGAGAATTTTAAAGGCACGAGTTCAATTTTCATTTTTGACAAATTCTAGTGTGACGGGAGAAATTAAACAAATTTTATACTAGTCTAATCCTTTAATGGCATGATTTTTTTTTTTTTTTGACCTTTTGCAAATTCTAGCCATTGAAATTAATATATGCATACAAATTTGCTTATCATCCAATTCCAATTAGAATAATTTTATTTTAAAGCATAATATTCATTTATATACAACCAAACCAAATTAATGAAAAAATTGTTAGTAGACAAAATATTCTTTTTGGTCCTCCATGCAATGAGGCAAAAAGAAAAAAAATGTGCATCCACCTTCCTCTTTAATTATGTTTTTCTTGAATCCAAAAGAAGTTGGTCTCTTAGATACCATCTGGCATATGGAAAAAAGAAAAATAGATGGATCTAGTTCAAGTTGTCAATGCAAAAAAGTAGGGTCACTTCCTTTGCTCTTTAGATATCCAAATACCAAAAACATGGCCCTTTTTTTTTTTGTTTTTTTCTTTAGTCTTTAATACAACCTATCACTTTTACAAGTTTCTTTGTACTATTCAATCTTTTACTTTTTCTCCTTATTGCTTCAAATGATTTCCAAAGAGACCCACATTACAACAGGCAGAATACCAACACATGTTCTGAATTTCATAGAAAAAGGGGTTAAAAAAAAGCAAATCACATCCCATTTCATGGAGGCAATTGATTTTATGCTGATTTAGATAACCTTGATTTAAACAAATGGAAGTCCACTCATTATTCATGTGTTAGAAAATTTTGTAAGACGGAGGCGTTCTATGTCGTTCATTGCTATTTGAGCTAAAATTATATATTTATATATATATTCGTGAAATCATTTGTTGTATTTTCATTATTAAGTGTGAATTTGGATTGGGATATTGAAAAATTACATTAAAACAACATTCAAAATAAAAATATAATGTTTGGGAATGAAATTGGAAAGATTTTTGGAATATTTGTTTGATTTGAGTAAATAAAAATTAAAGATGAAAATATTTGTTACGGTAATGAATTTTTATCAATAATTACATAATCGCATGATAAAATAAAAAATCTTAATTTTAAAGAACAAAATTTAAACTGTAATAACTTCAAATAAATAATAGAGAATTTAACTCTATTTTCTTACCTTTGTCTAGATATATTCTTAACAAAAAACCACCTTGCTTTATCATGGGTTCAATTAAGCTCCAAGTGATTTTGCAAAAAAAAAAAAAAAAAAAACCCTCCAAGTGATGAACCTTTTCCAGGGGAGAAAAGGGGTTCAGGGACAGCAGGGCTCACCCTATTCTAGATTACAGTGACCCTAGACACCTTTAAACAATCTCTTGCCAATCCCTAATTGGGACAACGGATTTATGATACCAGAGAAGACTTCACTTATGAGCATAGTGGGAAGCCCTTATGAACAAGTTATAAAAGCATTTTTATTTTCCAATTGAGAATTTTGTTTGATGCTTTGGTTTTATGCCCTCTTATGGTGTCCCAACATGGAATGATCCACCGCCGTCAGCTCAATAAAAAAAATGCCCTTAAACCATATATTCTACAATTTTTGCTGCTAAAATCAATTTGGCTTAGGCCCCAACAATCATGAGGCGAAGAACACAGGACAAAGGTTAACAGACAACCCCTCTTTTTTTGTGTAGAAACTGAAATGTTATTTGCCAATACTGGTCAAAATAGCAAAGATTTCAAAATTTGAGTTGCTTAAATTAACCATGTTTTGACTGCTTTAATATTTAGATATAGTTTTAAGTAAATTTTGTAATTCGCTATCTATGTTTATTTATTTTGTATAACATATCTTTAAAATATAATAATTATTAAATTATAATTTATATTAATATGTCAAACGTAAATATATTTTTTAATTTTTATTAAATTTATATATAAATTTTAAAAAATTTTAAAATATATCACTTTTTTTTATATATATTTTTATATCTTGTCATTATTTTATGTTTAAAATTAACAAGTTTTTTTTTTTTTAAATTGACAAATCTAATTTACCGTTAATAGTCAAGGATTGAAGTCCCGAGGAGCAAGCCCGGACGGCGGAGGATTTAGAAACTAGAAAGTTTTAGGGGCTCTTCCTCTACCATAGATTTAAGCATGCTTTTCCCTAGACGCTCATCCTCTCACTAGTGCCAAAATTTAAGAGAAAAAGTTTAAAATCACAATAAACTATATATGGTCCTGTGCCAGAAAGGGGAGTTTGATAGTGGCTTCTATTAAATAGGGTAGTGATAAGAAGAAAGAACAGTAACAACATCCTAAAGACTGGGGCAGTTGCCTTTGTTTCCAAGGGCACTAGCCTAGATTGAATGAAAACAGTCAGATTGGTTAACAACATTCCCTACACTCCTCATTTTCCATGCTGTAATTAATCAATCTGCAGACCCAATCTTGTACCTGAACGTTGCTCCATATCCGCAAAAGTGTTAATTAAAAAAATTGAGTATTTTCTGGGGAATCTTGAAAAAACCTAGAAATTTCACGGAATCCTGAAATAGATGTGGTAATTTTAAATAATTATATAATACGAAATTAATAAAAAATATAAAAATAATATAATTTAAAATTTTAATAAAAATTATATATAAATTTGATAACATAAAAAAATATATTTTAATTTAATAATTAAATTATATATTATAATTTTTATATTTTATAAGTGTTAAATATAAAATGTTAAATATAAAATAAATATAAATGAATAAACGCAGGTATGTCAAAGTTATAAGCGATTGCCTATTAGCTACTGTATATAGGAGAAGCAAGCTTGCCTTTGTTAATGCACCAACGCCAATAGCTTGCCTCTATATACAACAAAAACATTTTTCAAAGTTATCATAAGCAAGAAAAGAATAAAATCCAAAAAAAAAAAATCAAAGAGACAGAGAGTAAGAGAAAGAAAGAGACAGGAACAAAATGCAGTAGTAGTACTACTACAAAACATTCCCCTTTATCTTTTTCCTTCTTTAACTGCCTTTTTTACTTTGATGGAAGACCAAGAATTGGCTTAAGAGTTTAGACAAGCGAAAGGGGGTTCAAAGACAGCTGCCAGTGGGCGGCATGGTAGATCTGTTACCACCCCTTAAGCACTTTGCTGACCGGGCAGCCTTCCCTTAACCTGAACTTGTCGTTTTAACATTCATTACATGAAACAAAACGACACTGCCCCCTTGCCCCATCATGTTGGAATTGCCTTGAGATTTGAGGACCTAAAACCCGTTAAAAGACGTTTAGCGAGTGAGTGTTTCTCTCTCTACTGCACTTTATTCTGTTCAAATTCGATACTTTGCTGTTTTACTGAGAACGAGGCCCTCTTTGTTTAACAAAGAAAGAGAGGGGGTTGCTTATGAGTTTTCTCTTTCTACACTTTCTTCTCTCTTTCTTTCTTTCTTCTTTCTCTTTCTTAATGTCTACCACATTGTCTTGTTCTACTTCAAGTATCTCCCTTCTTCTCATCTTACTTCCACGCATTAAAGTGCTGTCTCTATTTCTCTCTTTCTCCATCTCCTCTCCTTTTTTATAGACGTTGGACTTTCATATTTTCTGGGTTTTGGCTTCTTTCTTTGCTTTCATATTCATAGTAGCAATAGAAACAGGAAACTAGGACAAACCTAATTCTTGTTTACTTCTCTTTGGTTCAAATTACCTTATTTTTGAGCAAGTGAAGATAAAGGCATTTGTTTCCTCAGTTAACTATCCGGGACCAGAGAACTCAACTTGCTTTACTCTGGGACCAGAGGAGAGTGCTGCTTATGGGGTTCTAATAACAGTTTTTTTTTTTTTTGGTGATTACAAGCAAAGCTGGCAGTTTGGGGAATTGTAAAGAGTAAATTAGGAACTGTATGAAGTAGAAGTCCAACAATGAGAGATGGGAAACCCAAGAAAAGCAAGGTTTTATTTTTTTTTTTTGTTCTTCCTCTTCTCTGTTTCTGGTTTTCTGTACTCAAATTTATGAAAAAAAAAATTTGGAGTTTGTTAACTGATTGGTTTTCCTTTATTGGGTAATTTATTGTTTTGGCGTAGCTCTCATGGTCCAAAAGAATGGTCAGGAAATGGTTCAATATCAAGAGCAAAACTGAGGACTTTCAAGCGGATGATCATGTTTATGGAGGAGGTGGCTACTTGAGCTTTTTTCTGGGATTTCACAATGATTGCTTAGTATTCATCAATTACAGAAATGGTTAGAATCTCAGGCTTTCATGCCAGAGAAGAAGACTGTTTGGTTGTTGTGAAAAATAAAGGAAAGAGAATATTTTTCTTCCGTCCAATTAGAACATGCCAACATAGCATGGTTTAGTTGGTTGATTGAAGGCTTATCTTTTCCTTGATTCTATTTATCAGTACTCAAGATTCTGATATCTTCTCTTTTCATGCAACTTCTAATCAGCCACAAAGGGCATCCTTGAATATTCTTAAGCACCTTCAATTTTTGTTTTGTTTCTGCTATGGCTACAGTTTTTTCTTTGTTTCATAACTTGTATATATGACTTTGATTGATGTGTTAACAGTATTTTTCTTTGCTTTTCAACCTTCAGGCGGTGAAGTGGAATACAGGACTAGCTTCTCAGAAAGGGAGCCATGCACAATCAAAAAGAGTAAAACAGGTTCATAATCTCACTAGTTTTGGGGGGTTTTTTTGGCTGTTTCTAAAAGGAAATTGCGCTTAGGACTTTATTATAAGTAATTTCTAAACGTAACTTTGATGTGCAGAAAAATTTAGTAAGAATACAGAGCAAAGCCAGCGAGGGAGAATGAATCTTGATCACCCTCGAATCATAGATGTCCAAAATCATAGGTATCTTTCTTTGAAATTTTATATGGTATTATTTTATCACTTTTGTTCCTTTGTGATGCATCAATACCAACTACTCTTCTCTGTTCAATTGGAGCAGCATTTTTGTTGCCACATGGAATGTGGGTGGAAGATCCCCACCTAGTAATTTGAATCTAGAAGAATGGCTTCATGCCTCACCTCCTGCAGATATATATGTCCTTGGGTATGCTTTGACAGTTTTGATCTTCTTGTCTCGCTTGCTAAACGCTGTTGTAGATCCATTGCTTATAGAATAGTTTCTTTCCCACTTGGTTTCTTACAGGTTTCAAGAGATAGTTCCTTTGAATGCTGGGAATATTTTGGGGGCAGAAGACAATGGTCCTGCCAAAAAATGGTTGTCTCTCATTAGAAAGACTCTAAATAATCTTCCGGGAACCAGTGGAGGAGGGGGCTGCTATACACCATCTCCTGTTCCTCAGCCCATTGTTGAGATAAATGCTGATTTCGAGGGGTCATCTAGGCAGAAGAATTCATCTTTTTTTCATCGTCGATCATTTCAGACTACCAACAGCTGGAGAATGGACACTGACCCCTCAATTTCACAACCACGACTTGACAGGCGGTTCAGTGTTTGTGATCGGGTAATATTTGGTCATAGACCAAGTGACTATGACTCCAGTTATAGATGGGGTAATAGGCCTAGTGATTACTCCCGGCCAAGTGATTACTCCAGGCCTAGTGATTACTCCAGATGGGGTTCTTCGGATGATGATAACGGGATTGCAGATTCACCAAGTACTGTATTGTACTCACCAATGTCCTATGGTGGATCAGCATCCAACGAACAGGGATATAGGATGCCTGGGCATTCAAGGTACTGCTTAGTGGCTAGTAAGCAAATGGTTGGTATATTTCTCACAATTTGGGTGAGAAATGAGTTGAGAGATCATGTTAAAAACATGAAAGTATCCTGCGTTGGCAGAGGATTGATGGGTTATCTTGGAAATAAGGTATTACTTAGACTGTAGAATGGTACTCATTCACTTTATTTTTCATATAATTTACTTTTGTCTTCCCCCCAAGAATCAGAGCCAGTTATGATTAACCTATCTGGCTTGTTTTGCCAGGGTTCTATATCTGTCAGTATGTTGGTGCATCAAACAAGTTTTTGTTTCATTTGTACTCATTTAACTTCGGGACAAAAGGAGGGAGATGAGCTAAGAAGGAACTCTGATGTCATGGAGATTCTTAAGAAGACGAGGTTTCCACGGATTCATAATGCAACTGATGAGAAGTCCCCTGAAACAATCCTTGCGCATGAGTAAGGCTTTGCTAGTCTACTGTCAATTAGATTCATTTTTTCTTTAAGATTACTTGAATGAATTAGATATGCATATCTGAAATACATCGTGAATAGCTCTGAAACAACAATAAATGGAATTGGTCTATTGTAGTATTATTTTTGTTTGACTAAAAGTGATTCTATTGTTCTTCAGCATCTTTTATAGTCTGTCTCCCTGCCTGCTTGACTGTCACAATTTCAATTCCAAACCAACATAATTACCCGTAAAACTTGATGCAGAAATGGATCCATCTCGTATATGCAAAAACTACCAATATTTTCTTGTTCTGGGTTTTGTGTTCTTCCCTTGCTTTTTGTTTGCATGTACTGACTATTTATATGTTAATCCAGTCGAATAATTTGGCTTGGGGATTTGAATTATCGCATTGCCCTCTCTTACCGGTCTGCCAAGGCACTTGTTGAGATGCAGAACTGGAGAGCATTATTAGAAAATGACCAGGTATGCTTTACTGTTCTATTACAAACTCCACAAGTTTCTTCAGGGGTTTTATTTTGGCCAAATTTCTTTACAGGATTGAAATACATATCATAACTTTTACAGTCAAATTTAATAAGAAAACCTTTCATTGATGCTATTCTTGGCAGTTAAGGATAGAGCAAAAAAGAGGGCGTGTTTTTGTGGGATGGAATGAAGGAAAGATTTACTTCCCACCAACATACAAGTATTCAACTAATTCAGACAGATATGCTGGGGATGATATGCACCCAAAAGAGAAACGCCGAACTCCTGCTTGGTAAGAAAATGCCTCCTGCCATAACGCAGGATAAAGTACTTAAAATCATAGTTATGCAGAACAAAATGATAGTATGATAAAGAAAACTGGATTATTAAGCGAAGTATTTAGTCCCCTCCCCGTCTCCTTTTTTTTTAAATTTTTTTTAATTTTTTAAATCTAACCACTTCAGGTGCTGACTTCATTTAACTTTTTTTTGTACAAAGGTGTGACCGGATACTGTGGTATGGAGAAGGCCTCCATCAATTATCTTATGTCCGTGGGGAATCTAGGTTCTCAGATCACAGGCCAGTTTATGGTATATTTTGGGCTGAGGTTGAGTCAAGCCATGGCCGATTGAAGAAAAGCATGAGTTACTCTAGTTCAAGGATTGAAGTAGAGGAGCTTTTGCCATATGCGCATGGATACACCGAGCTAAATTTTTTCTAAAGGATGAGGTTCCACATTCAACAGATGATCTCTCTCTCTCTATGTAAGTTTACATTTTTTGTTCGGTGGACTGGACAGACATGCTTTGATAATTCATTCACTTAGGCTTTAGTTGTCTTGTTTCCGTATTTTCAAACTATTCTATGAAGGAATGATATGAATGCCTTCTCTTATTTGCAAATATTTGTTTTTTTCCCATTACTAAGTGATTTTTATGGTTTACAACCAGGATACAAATTATCTTTAGGGGAAATTTCAATGTGCTTCTGCATATCAGCAATAATTTGCGTTCTGAATTGCGTTCTGAATCAATCAGGTAAACTCCTGTCAAGCTTATTTGTTTACTTTTCTTTTTTCAGTCTTGTGCATCAAGTTTGTTTAAAATAAACGAATGTCAACCACACAAGGCTCCTTTGTGCTTGTGGTCCTTGAACTTAAACAATGACTCCCATAGCTTTTAAACATGGAAGAGATACCTTCAACATATCTTCCAAGAAATTGAATCATGCCTCTAGCTTTTGGCCGCGTAGCTTATGGATAATGAGAATCTATATGAAAACCCAGCTCTGAGAAAGAAAATGTACTTGGCATATAAATGAAAGCGTTTGATATTTTTGTTCTCTTTTCCATTGAAATTTTTCTCCAGAAGAGCCGTTCTCTTATTCCTAATACTGAAGCAGAATTTGGGTCCCCATATGCAGATTGGACATTCATTCTTAAGGGTAATGGAGACATTCCGTTGCCCACAAACCAAAAAATGGTCAGTCCTCTTTTCTTCCCTCCTTTTTCTTTTTTTTTTTTTTTTCATTTATTGGTTTATTTGGCTAATTTCACTTTGATGTTTTCTTGATCAGGTGTAAATTTTGTAATTCATTGGTTAACTAACTCCAGTCATCGCAAATTCCGACTCAATCATAATACGATGTTAGCTTACAACATACCAGTCTCCGTACGAGATTGATAATTCTTCACAAGGATTACGTACTATACTTTGTCATTACTGATGATTACTTCCTATACTTATAAAGCAAAAATTAGCTTCCTTACGTGATAATGATGTATCTTTTTTGCCTTTGCAGGGATGAACTTGCACTATCAAGAACTTCCAAAGTGGGAACTTGAAGATTGTTTTATTCATGATGATTCTTTTGTTAGTTTAGGGAATTTTTTGATGAGCTAAAGAATATCAAGTATGGTCAATATAATCATTAGGGTACTTGCTTTTTTGTTTTAAATGCAACGAGAAGTGAAGGTTTGATGGATACTCAAAACCAAAGTGACAAGAGGAAATGAAAAAAAAAAAAAAGTGAAAAAAAAAGGAAAAGAAAGAAGAGAAGTGATAATAGAAACCAGAATGCTTCTTTACTAATGATTTTACTGGAAAAGTTGGTTTCCTTGATAATGTAACTTCTGCACTGCCATTTCTACTTAAAAAAAAAAAAAAAAAACCCGTGGTGTGAGTAATAAACCAGAAAAGTACTAGACAGTTTTGCAGGCGTGGCAGGTTTGTGGAAAGCCATGATTAAGCTAGTGTTTCTTTCCTTTGTCCTCTACTTAGTGCACCGGATTATTAGTTTGTTCTTACCTGTATGGATTGTAGAGAAAGTAAAAACAAGCGTGGGAATTGGGAATACTATATATGGCTTCTACCAAAAGAAAAAGTGAAAATATGACTTATTTATGAAAAAATTATCAGGATTAAAAAATTGCTACATATTTTATTAAATATATTTAAAAATTAAAAATTTTATAATAAATAATGATACATAGAATAATAACAAGTACAAAAATATCATTGAATTTGAAATTTAATTTATTCTATAATAAATAATGATACATAGAATAATAACAAGTACAAAAATATCATTGAATTCAAAATTTAATTTATTTGATTTAAATAATTATTTTTCAAAAATTGTATATAATAGATTTGATATTCAAATTTTAGTATGTGTAATTTGCTTTTTATTTTCAAAATATAGCTTTTCAAAAGAAAAGGTCATCAAATTAAATGAAAATAATATATCTTGTAATAGTAAGAGATGTCTATATTATTCATACCTAATCAGAAATCTGACTTTTTATTTGAACGAAGATAAAAATGATTATTATATTGTATGAATAATGATGAAGAGAATTTTAAATTTTTATTAAGTATCAGAATAGAGATGAAAAATATAATACATGTTTTGTATTTATACCTTAAATATATATTTCTATTTATTTAGTAAATAAATTCTTCTTTAAATAATATAAATTGCTATTTTAGATTAATTAGAGTTAATATATATTAATATATATCTATATAAAATTATATAAATTACAAGATAAAATAAAATTTTAAAAAATAAATTTTAGTTTTTAGTTTTTTAAAAAAAATTATGAGTACAAAAATTATTTAATCTATTAAATATTCACGAAATGAGAATAAAAATAAATTTGAAATATTCATTGAATATGAATATAAAATTTAATATAATATAAAAATTCAAAAATTAAAATAAAAGATACTCAAACCCACTCCGTAACCTTTTGATTAACATTCTTAGTAATAGTGGCATAAACCTTGATAATGGTCCTACTTTACTTTACAAAAAGGGGTATGAAAAAAAAAAGAAGAGAGAGGCAAATGGCTTTTAAATGTGTGTTTCCTATTCCAAGTATGGTCAAAGAAGGGGGCAAAAAGGGGATAAAAAATAAAAGAAAAACTGACAGAAAAAGAAAGATGTTGAATTTAAAGCCACCAAAGGGGGAACATTATTAGTCCTTTAGCTGTATTCTCTGAAAATGAAGGGTTGCCTTGTGGTCGGATGTTCATTGGTCTGATCCAAGCGACTTACCATCAATATTCCTCCACATTCTGCCTTATGTTTGTTCAATAAAAACCATTAATTCTATAGCCTTTGGTAAAGCTCACTAAGCAATTGGATCTTCTAGTACAATTCTCATGCTTAAGTGCATGAGTTAAAACCATTTGAAATATATATATTACCGAAAGAGGAATATAAAACTTAACTCAATTTATGTATATAATTATTTTTAAAATATATATCTAATAAGTTTAAGTTAAGATCTCAACACTTGTACAGTTATTTTTTATCCCAAATTACAATTCTCTTTGTAAAAAAAAAAAGAAAAAAATTCTCCGGCTTTATCCCAATATTGTATTTCAGAGAAGAAACCAAATTGTATTGCTTTGGCTGATCATTTTCTGTTGACTGATCAAACAAACGTAAGAAAATGACTTTGTTCATTTTCTATAAGTTAATTTTTATGAAACAAATAGCGCATTAATCTCAAGCAAAAGATGGAAAAAAATGAAGTCTACTTGGAAGCTTTCAAGGAGGGATGATTCTCAGCTTATAGGAAAACATAATTGAAGCTTGAAACAAGGAGACTTAATCATTCAAAGATCAAAACACATCAATTGTCTACATTCTAACTAATATATGAAAAATATTGTAGTTCTTTTTATAATTCAGTTACATTAAAGTGTAAAATGGGAAAGAAATAATACAACCCTTTCTTTTTTTTCTTTGGTCACCTTATCATCCTTAAACTGATATCTTGCTGGTTTCTTTAATTTGTTTTTTGAGATTGGTCCCCAGTTTCAGGCTGGAATCACTCCAAAGAAACAATCCCTGGTAGGCGATTAGGACATTTCTATAATATACACAAATGGACAAAAGGTTGGTCTTCTTCTTTACTTTTCTTGGTTTTGCTGTAATATTTCATTACACAACACCATTTTCTTGGATCTTGAAATTATCTGCTTCTTTAAATTACCGTCTTTGATTATGTATCATTATATGTGTAAAGATAAATACTTCGTGAATAGGTTTGACTTTTGTTTGTTTATGTTCTTTTATTAAGTTTAACAAATGATTATAAATAATATTTTGAAGTTGGCTATTTAAATGAATAGATTACAAACATAGCAAAATTCTTTCATGTTTGGTTTGTTTATACCCTTATATATGTATCATTGCTCTCGGCTGCCTTCTTTTTGATTTTCTGTCCCAGTGGTCAATTAGTTTAAAGATAAAAGGTGGCAATAACCTGCAATTCTGTAATCACTTCTTGTTCAGCATGATGAACTGACTCAATCAAACAGTGCCAACTGTTCATGTGCAACAATCAAGAAGAGAAAGCCAGCAGGTCTTTTCATTAAATTGAGAGGTAAACTTTGGTGGGTGCTCTGCAAATCATGGGTACAATGTTCAAGCTTATGGTAAAGGTTCAGAAGTCCACAAATGATATACTGAAACAAAGTAGGTTAATGGCTTCTCCTTTTTTCTGTGAGAGGTGAACAATATACTTGAAAAGGACATGACAGTTTATATATCTGACAATTATGTTGGCAAGTCATGATTTTGAGACTCTTTTAAGTTTTAAACTTCTGCAAATATTGCTGTTCAGCTTTCATCTTTTGCTGTGTTTAAGCAACTGATTACTGTTTCTTGGTTTCAGATTATTGTAAAATATAATCTGGCATGGCTCAGACCGAAGTTATGGTTGGAATGTTTTGCGATAACCTGAAGAACCCTTTTGTTAGTGGGGGAGTGAAAGCAACATTGGCTAGCAAAAGCATGTTTCTTTTTGTCTCTGTAATATTGCAGACAATACCAATGAGTAGGTGTTATTCCTCTGCCATTATGAAGGTACTGCTATTCAGCTAACAGACAAGGCTGCTAAATCCTGTCCAAGGCTGCTTCCCTTTACTAAAATTTTCTCTTGCTTAATGGGATGTATGATTTTTTTTTTTTTTTATAACATCTGCTATAAACCTTATAAAGATTGTATAATATCCTCCAAAACCCTCCGCTTTTTCATATCATGATTATGCACACACACAAATCCCTAAAATCTCAACCAGCATGAACCCGGCAAGCATCTGAAATAGTACAATAAGGTCAACAAAATTAAGGCTGTTTTGAGCATGCATGCCTTAATGAGATCAGAAGAAGTGTATCTGACTTAATTATGCACCAGAAAGTTTG